AGTTCAAGGGACCCAGCCTGGAGTTGTTTCTCCGAGAAAGTTATCCAACAAGTTTTTCAACATGGTACAGTTGAAACAAATTTTTTTGATATGAAATAATTGATTAGATTCCACGTGTGCGATCTGTTTCGGTCAATGATTCTTTCTGGATTCAGCTTGAGCACTCGAATTTCCCATCTAACTCATCAGGATGTGACGTCTTCCTATTTGACGTATTTTTTGATTTTTTGCCTGAGGCAGCTGACGGCATAATCAGCTTGTCTTCTCCAATTCTGATTGAATTTGGGGGAAGAAAATTAGATTCTCAACTCAAACTCTGTCGAGGTAATGACGTTGATGGAGAAAAAACTTTACCTTTTTTTTTGAAGTAGACGATGGAGACGAGGAAATTCAATCAGCTACATCAACGAACATCTTATGTGATTGTTCACAAGGAGCGAAAGCTCAATGTCGATCAATTTACAGGTAAGAGAAAGTTATGGTAATGCAGGAGATTTTTCTTAATTCAAGATCACCTGCTTCTTGTGGATCATCGTGGAAAAGAATTGCCGATGACACTATTTCTCTTCAAGTAGTATCAGCATTTCTTCTGATGATTTCCGAATGCAATGACGTTCAACTGAACTTTACAGATCTTCATCAGACTTTACAGTAAGGCTGATTATGAAAATTAAACTATAGTGTTTCAACATCTTCCAGATGTGTATCAAGCTTGGAAAGTAAGTGTCCCTTATCCAATACTCGGTTCAAGAGATTGACAAACGAAAGCTCATTAGTTGATTTGTTGATGTTCCAGAAAGATCCCATTCGAAGTTTACGCCAGGTAGCAACTTCAAATTATTTTAATTTACCCAAACTCATAGATTTCATCAACATCGGAAAGTTTCATAAATCCTTTGAACGTTCTGAATTCCTTCGATCTTCAGTCGATACGTATTGCTTCCTTGTATCAAGATTTCATCGAAAGACTACAAGTAATTGCTTCATTTTTTCTATTTCTTGAAAGTGAACTTCAAGGATGTTTTCCCCTCATTTGTGTTTGGGTTAGAAAGGGAGAAAATCGATCTTCTTATCACAGCAATAGGAGATAGCTCAGTAGATGGAAATTATATCTCAGCGGATGAGGAAAACTTTGTGAATGGTTAGCTAATTACGGTTAAGAGAATCATGAATTGATCTATAGACCGCCAGTTAACGCAGTTATGGAACAATACAGTTAAAGAATGGAATTCCGGGAAATGGTCATTCTTTGATCACAGTGGTATTCCCTTCGCTTCCATGAAGCAATTGATTGCCTCTGCTGATCGTCTAAAGTCATTCAACAGACAGGTTGGATAGATTCATTAGTAAAACTTATAAAGATAGTTCATAATTGCAGAATGGCGGAACAGATCCTTTCTCAGTTCTCCACGAATATCTTGGACGCTTGCTAAAGACCACTAGCCATCCTGATACGGTATGGAGCACCTTCAGTCTTATTCATAGTTATCCACTTTTCAGATATGTCTGCAAGCTACTTCTTTCATCACTCCTAAAGTTGTATATGAGAATGATGCTATTACAATTGACGTTTTCGTAAAAAATCTCAAGGTTATAAAAGACTTTGAGCCTCAAATTAAAATTGAAATTCAGAATGTTCCTATTGCTCAAGTTGCTCTGACTATTGACATAGTACGAGATGATGCTTTCTCACCCCAGGCAAAGTTAGTAGCGAACGGTATTTCAGTGAACACTTTGTCAGCACAGGTTTGTATTGTTTTCTTCTCGAGTTATCTCGAAGGTACTCCAGGGTGTTTTACCTCCAAACAGCTCTTTTGTTTCTTCTTGGACTAAGAGGGTGGTGTTCTCTAATCAGCTCACATCAATAGCGAACTATCAGGTGTTAACGACTGGTTTTCCATTAATTATTTTGTTACAGCTGATTATTGCTTTGTCTTTTATGGTTGAAGGAAAGGAAACAAAACAGAGATTAATCACTAGAGCACTTCAGATCAATCCTATCAAAAGCTTGAAGGTAACCTTCTCACTTTCATGAATACTGACCCCAGTTTTTCATTTCTGCACCTAGCACGGCAAGTATCGGTTGTATGTTATGTTTTCAATTTCAGATAGTTCACTTCGTGGCACCAACTCTACAATCATCAAATCTTCCATTTTCATTGATGACCTCAATAATGAATAATGGGTAAAATATATTTAGCTTTATACAACTAATAAGCTCTTTCTTGTAGATATGCTAATTTGCATAATGTTCGTGTTGAATCTACTGACCTACAAGTCTCATCGCCACAGAATATTCCTCTTCAATTCCATATTGATAGTTTGAAGCTAAATGACAATCCTATTGGTATATCGAAGTTCAGAATATGATCTTATCAGCAAAACTTTCAGAACCATCCACATCTTTTGATATTGGTGATATTTCTTCCGGCACCTCGAAAGTACTCACAATGAATATCAGTTCATCCGATTCATTAGTATGTTCTCTAGCCATACCATGTTATATTAGAACACTTATCCTAATATGTGTATTTACAGGCCAACTTAACAAAAATCAAAACTCAAATGTCTGCTGATGGGACAACTATAGGAGTGGATGACAGTAGTATTTACAAAGTTCATGCAACTGCTGGGCAAAACGGTTATTCTTTCATTCATAGCTCGGATTGAAAATTATTTTTTGAAGGAATTCTCGTCTCTGTGATGGATTATGATGAGCCTTTGTTCTTTTTCCGACCAGAAACTGGGAATCTCGTCAACATAATTCCTTTAGAATTCCAAAAAGTAAGAGAATATTTGATCTTTGAAAAGCATTGTTCAAACTGAAATGGATTGTTCAGAGTTCAACTGAGGAAGCAAAGCAGCCGATAAGAACTATAGTTCAAGCAACTTTTCAAAACAAGTAATGAATTGATTATTTTTTACCGAATCACAAGTAATTTATAGAGAGTCAAGATCATTCTTTGGCTACTTGTTCGGTTCATTTCCGTATCCAAACGTTCCTAAGAACTATGAATTAGTCCAAATCCGCGAACAAAATATAAATCGACCACGGGATGTTAGACCGATTGTGTGGATCGATGAATCACCTGAAGTTTCATTATAAAGAAATCACTAAGCTAAATTTCTTGAATTAAGGGAAAAATGCTCAACTTCATTGACGGAGGCTCATTGAATCCATCATATGAACAATCTTACGATTTCGTTTTTGCTGATCCGATGGTCCTGTCTGTTCCTTTCTTTTCCCAGAATGCTTACAGAATCCAGGTATACTTTGAAGTATTTTTGATCTACATCTCTGTGTTTTTAAGTTACAAAGAGATGACTGGCCACAACCTGGGAATACAATTGGCCATATATCTGTTGAGAATGATAATAACGATGTTGAATATTCTCTCTTCTCTCCAGATGACTCTTCCACATTTAGTGTTCATCCGCAAACTGGTGAGCTTATTTTTTTTGTCATATATAAACTTCAATAAAAGGACATATCTTCATGGACTCACCTGCTTTACCTGGTAATGAGTTTTGTCTGCTTCTCAAAGCCAAGAAAGCGAATGGGGAAGAAGCATCAGTCCCTGTTTCAATTAATACAGGTCTATTTTCATTATTCTTTTTCTCATACAATGACTCAACTTCCAGGTGGCTCTCGAAGAGATTGCATTACCTTTAACACTTATGGATTAACACCTCGTATCCATCCTGGTGCTATAGAGTTCCCAACACCACCAACTTTTTCACCATCCATTCCAACAAACCCTACACTACCAACTGAACCCACAAATCCAACAGTCTTTGTTACAACCACGGAACCACTTGTAACTTCGGAGTTCCCAACTCCTCCAACGTTCGCACCTTCCCATACAACAGAATCAACTAACCCAACTGAACAGACCAATCCAACAGCTATAATATCAACAACTGAAGCAGCTCTAACTTCAGAGTTTCCAACGCCCCCTACATTAACACCAGTGGTTCCAACAGATCCAACAATCCCAACTGAACCAAGTAGTTCAACCGTTTCTATCACAACCACTCAACCATCTCTAACTTCAGAGTTTCCAACTCCACCCACTATTTTCACAACACAACTAGCAGACACTTCTCCTTTCCCAACTCCCACTGATCTGACCCTTCCAACCCTTCCCCCGTATACCACTACTCCGATTTTGGAGACTACTGAATACACAACTACTCATGAGATTTATCCAGATAGTACTTTGCCACCTTACATAACATCTACAACTGAAGATACTATAGAATCAACTATTCATAGTCATACAAACTCAATCGAGTTTCCGACACCTCCGACTTTCAGACCTCCCATCTCAATACAACCAACATTCCCAACTTATCCAACAAATCCAACAGTATTTGTCACAACTACTGAACAAGTTATCACTTCCGATTTTCCAACTCCATCGCCTTGGACACAAGCAGTTCAAACAACCGACACTCCAATAGAATCGACGTCATTCGTTTCTACATCAACTCATTTTATAAGACCAGATTCTACAATATCCTCGTTTGACGTCAGTACTTCTAATCAACCAACAGGTTTCCCTGTTGTGACAACAACAGAAAATCCGTTTTATGGCAATGCCTGTATAAAGACTTCATCATCCATCTACTCATTGATATGTCAATTGGATAAGCTGATAGTAGATGACTGAATCATCCTGATTGTACATTTCGTCTTTCATCACTTCTTGTTACTTGTTTCAAATTGTTTTTGCTCTTCATCATCATATTCAATAACAACTAATGTATATTAGTAAATATTTAATAATAAACATAATAATTATAATAATAATAATACAAAATTGCTGATAATCCATATAAGGTATTCAATATAATGTACAAAAGATTACAATTTTTTGAGTTTTCAAAGCATACACTGACAATTCACACAATGAGATCAATAGATCAGAAGATTAGAATGAGTTTCTTATCTTACATTTTTACATTTGTATTTATTACATTTTGTACAAGTTATTTTCTTATCCAAACTCTTTCATTTCTAAGATATCCACAGTAGCTGTCTTATCAGATGTGGTCGATGAAGCACGAGATGGAGGTGTTGGTCCAGCATTTACAACTTTTACTGGCTGAAATATATTTCCCTCGTTTAAAATAATTTAAAGATGGCAGCAACCTGAGCATAGTCATTCCCATATGTTCGGAAACGAACTGATTCGGCACGAGACCAATTGTGACCTACAGTTGGGGAACGAGAACGATCGGATGAGAGCTGAAAGCACATACGAAGTGTGTGACAAAGACAGTGTAAGGTCAAGCATAAGTTGAAAGACTTCTTCCTCGAACTTATATAAGGAAATAATAACTTACGGGTGTTCTTTGTCCTTCTTTAAGAAGCATTGTGTCTTCAGGGAACATGGTTGTAGCGTCTTCTTCTTTTTGTTCCTCTTCATCGCGGTTAACAGATCGAGTGTTCGCTAAAAATGTAAAGAGCCTAAGTTGAAACTAAATTTGTTTTTCTATACCAAAGCTTCGGTTGAGCTGGGAATAACTTTTAGAGCGATTCCATTGCTTACGACTTCCACAACAAGCCAATCTTCTGAATTCTGTCATTCGGAAATAGCAAAGAGGTTGGCACACAGAATGAACACCAATAAGAACCTAATAAGGAAGTAATAAATATCAAAAGTTATGCAAAGTGTCTACCTGAAGCCACCAACGGATGAATGTGCTGCTATGAGTTATTTGCAAAAAGCCATTGATATGCAAAAATGAAACTATCTGAAATATGGAAACTATGTAAAAGTTGAAATTTGTCTGTATTCTAATTTCTTCACGCGTACGTCACGTGTGAGCTTCGAACTCCGATTTTCAGTTTATTTTGATCATTCAATTGGCATTGAACGGTTGTACAATACAATTTCATATGAGGTTTCGTCTCCTCGTTCCTTGTACTTCGTCTATATCTCTTCAATACTAACCTGGATTCCTGAATAAGGACATAAGAAAAGTAGATCAACCATAAGCACTGATCCAATAACATAAATATATTTATGTCTTTGAACAGCTTGTAATTTGAATTTACGGCTTCTGAAAAGGAAAGGAATCCCATAAATGGAATGAGAGAGCAAGTGAGAGAGTAAAAATGAAGATGAAGAAAAAAAAACAAACCTGCTTCCATTAGAAGCTCCATTAGAGCAGTTTGAAGACGTTCCATTAATAGTACGATGAACACGATTACTTCCATTATTATGACGATGACTATCTTCGGTATTCATTGAGCCATTCTCATCTTTGAATTTGCGAATTGTGCGTAAGATGAAGCCATAGCAGACCTGAAAGTAAGATTTTGAAACGATTTATGAACTATGAAATCAATGTATGAACTAACCATGACGGCGAAAAGTACCAGAACACATAAAACAGATATAGTTAGCATACTTAACGTAGCAACATCGATATGCCATATATCGTCTAAAAAGTTATGAGGTGAGCTTCAATCCCTTAACTGTGTCTTACCCGACGATGTCGCTAAATTGAGAGAAGATTTCGGGAAAAGCAATCCCATGCCCATAATTATGCTGACAATCCAACTATAAACATAATTATACACATATATTTCATTAATTATATAATATAAACTAACCAGCAGCATAAAATAACAAGGACAACACGTCGACGGAAATATCGCCGGTAATGTAATGGATAGGTGATGACGATGAATTCATTCAGTGTGAATACGAGAAGATTGAAAATTGTTAACAAATTGCATATTCTTAATATAACTAAAGCAAATGCGGATGCCTGAAAATGGAGTATATTCTTAGCCGTTCACGTCATTCTCATTTTTTTTTCTTTTCATCTTCTTCTTCTCTCTCTCTTCATCTCTCTACTGCTCATTCGCAACATACGTTGAGAGATTTCTAATATTTGGTTATTCCATCTTATATTTCCTTATTTTATCGAAATGTACTCTTTTGGAAGTTCTGAATAAAAAGAAAGTTTCATAGAACCCGATACTTCGTTGACGTTAATTTTGGATCTTTGAATGTGTATACTACACTCAACAACATCAAAAAGCTATTGGAAGGTCGTGTGATGAACTCGAGTTCATTGCTTATACTAGTATCAGTACTTTCTCTCTTTCTCTCTCTCTCTCTTTCTACCTCATTTCTATCTTTCTTCTCTATTGATCACGAGCTCTATCAGCCAGTTGTAAGAACGGAAAAGGCGTTTACCCTGAACAGTATGACGTTCGTTGTTAACTGTAACGTTGAATCCATCATTTTATATACAGATTGCACTAAAGATGGTAAGCCATATATGACAAGACATGATCCCCGTGCCACATCCAGAATTGCACAATGTAAAACAATTACATAGAAAACATTCATTAGAACTCGTCGACGATTCCTGAAAATTCAGATTTTCATTGTTTGATTAGAATATTGCTGTTGAATTCATTGTCATAATTCTATTGACTTCGTTAATTGTCCTTCTTCGTTCAGATAGAGAGATCAGAGACGAGTCTAAAGAGAGAAAAAAAATTTTTTCCAGTCCAATCAAAAGTTGAATGAGTAAGAAGAAGGGATTTCTGGGAATAGCGTCACGGAAATTGGATGGATAAGCGTGTTATGTGAGGAACAAATGTCAAGCAAATTCAATTATTACTCTTCATTTCATACAAAATGGAAATTATTGTGTTTTATCAAAAATTGCTTTTAAGCTTTCACTTTTCATCCTCTCTAGGCATATCTCACTATCTCATCTCTTTCCGTTTTTGTTTGTGTCCATGTTTTCGTTCTATCATGTTTCTTTTCTCGAAACAGAATCATAAGTTGCAGATATTGAAACACCTACCTCACAAGTGCGACAATGACAAACAGATTCAAAATAACTGACAGTAAGCCCAAGTGGGTACACATGTACACTGCTGTTGAAGCCATCTGAAACATAACTGTTAAATTTACAAGTAGTTGAGATCAATGAATATAAAGAAAAATGAAAAAATGTTGAGAAATATGATATGATGAAGAAAAGGTAAGTTCTTATTGGATTTCTTGGACAAAACAAATGAAGCAACCGACCCCTGAGATTAGAATGATTTTGAGACGAACGAGATATGCAACCGCTCACTATGTCAGCTTTTAAATGAAATGAACTCAGTCAATTACGTGAAGCTCACGCAACATTGTGTTCAAAATAACAAGAAAGATATATTTTTGAATAGTCGTCGTGCATAGGCTTGTTGCTTTCGTCCAGGACCAGGCAACAAGTGAGATTTGTCTCCGATGGGAAAATGAAACACAGAATGTAGAGGAAGACTTTGTGAAAGTGGGAGTGATCGTAGTATGAAAGCAAAATGAAACGAGAAAAGTTTTGTATCATGAGATCACAGATGAGAAAATCATTTGAGTAAAAGCAGTATAAGTTTTCATCTGGAATGAGCAGATGAAGCTTAGCAACGTAGTTGTGAAAATTGCATTTCCTTTCCATTCATATCATGAATGTCTTTCCAGCTTTTTTTTGGCAAATAAAAATTGTTTAATAATGGCTGAGGGGGAATAGAAATAATCCACAGAGTGTTTCAAATACAATAGAAGGTATAGAGAGACTTGTGAGTTAAGGAGATTCTGAAAAAACACACACGAGGTATGAATAGGCTCAAGTCTTACTCTTACTCTCTCTATCTCTCTCTATCTCTCTATCTCTCTATCTCTCTCTCTCTCTCTTAGTTTTAGATAAGGAAAGAAAAAAATTGAAACAATAAGAAGAGAAGTGTGTCAGTGATGTAAACTCTTAGCCATTGACGTACATGCATACATGCGCACAAGTACTAATTGGATATGGGATCTAGAACGCCCTCAGGCTATTGAAGGTTATTTGCTTATTGTCTTGAAGAACATGCAGTAAGCTTTTTTCCAATCAAGCTTCATAATGGAATTCAACCATTTTGACTTGTGCAATATTAGAAATCTTGAGTACAACACTTTTTTGTTTTATTATTTCACAAAAAAAAAATGTCTTTATTTGCTTCCAAATTGTCAGTCTTCTGTTGTAATTTGTATATTTGAAGAATGACAATCAAAAAAATGGAAAAAGAAAATGATGCTGTTCCGCAAAAATTATTATCCAACTAAAGGGCATTTCCTATCAGATTCTAAATTTATCCTGGCTCACTTCCATAGTTCTTAAGCTTCTACTTCATCCTGGTAAATGGCCAGATATTTCATTGTGTGCAAAAAGCTCAACACACTAACACACACATGCAAAAAGGATAGAATGAAGAAGAGAAAAAAGACGATGGAGACGTAGAAGATGTAGAAGACGAAGAAGATGAAGCAATTTTGTGAAATTGACAGAAAAATCACGTGCGAAGGAAGCTTGTGATTTATTTTCTGAGACATCCGAATATTCCTGATTACAGAAAACGAAAACTTTGAGAAAAGTTAAGAAACAGGCAGAATGCAAGAGAGTATGGGAAACAGAAAGAGAAAGCCAGTAGCAAGATGTAATAGCTTCATCAAGCCTCATATCGAGATATTCACTATGCTTTTACTCAAATTTTTTTTATCTCTCTCGTTTGAGCTCTTTAAACATCTTATACATCTCATTTACCTCTCTCTCTCACTTGCCTTATAAGCCTTCTAGCAGCTCAATCGTACTCTCTGTTTCCCTTCCTCTGTCTTCCTCTCTCTCTCTTAGCCTTGACCATTTTTTGTCGCAATCTCATTGACTTAACATTGAGTAAAAAGACGATGTCTTGATTTACTTAAAGAGGCAAGCAGTCAGCTAAGGCAACGAAGCCAAATCTAATAAGAATCATCTCTAACGAAATAGCTAAAACAATCTGACAAATGTCATAAGTCTCATGAACACGAAGAAACTTTATGAAATGAAAATTGAATTTGTGAAATATTAAACGAAAAATATATGTTTGTTTATATTAAAATTTATCCCTGAGACCATTTGAACAACAATGGAAGGATGTTATTCGCCTCTCAAGGGTGAGCTGTCTGATTTTGGAAAGTTATGATATTGTGAAGAAGAGTCACAATGTGTCGTCTGAGCAGCATCAGATTGTTGGAAACGTTCGTGATGCACTATGCTTGTGCATGATTGAAGATTCTGCATGGACGAACAGTTTCATTTAAAAGTTTTCAGGAAACAAAAAAAAACTTTTTAAGTTCAGAACTATTTGTTTGATGAACTTCCTGGAATGATATGAAAATATATGGGAAAAGGAAGAAGAAAACGTTAGAAGTAATAAGAGACTACGGCAGATGGATATAGACCGAGAGATAAAAATAAAAAAAGTTTTACGATGAAGAAGGAGAAACTGCCGAAGGGGGGGGGGAGGTTGAAGGGGAGGTGGGATGAAAAAGGAAAAAGAGAGAGAGAGGAGGAAGGGAGTGAGGGAGGAATAGATGGAGCTTGAACGGACATGAACGATGTAACAAATGCTATTAACCAGTCTGCTATATCAGTATGATGTGATTTCTCTATGCACGTGTGTATGTGCGTGTAATGCGTGTGCATGTGAATCTGTGTTGATGTGTATGTGTGGTCTTGAAACGATTGAAAGAAACAAAATAAAAACAAAAATCGACAAACAACAGTGCAATCCAAATTGAAGGTAAAAGAATAAAACAGAAAAACAGGAAAATTTTTGAAGATTATTTGCATAAAAACTAAAGAGAATGAATAAAACGTGACCGTAATCAAAGGAAAAGAGAAACGAAGAGATTTTGGACTTTTCATTGTTTTCAAAGTATTCAAGAGAGATACAGAGAGAGAGATTGAGAGAGAGAGAGGGAAAAGGAGGTAGAGAGGAGAAAAGGCAAAATCGAGAATGAGTGAACAGACGAAAAATAAAATGTTTTAGTTTTCAAGCTTAGAAAAGTTCCATGTCTCTTCTCATGTATTATAATCTAATTATGATGTCAAACGGCTAACAATTCAGATTCAAAAAAACAAAAAAATAAAATTTCAAAGATGTAGATGTGAGCTGCGGATCTCGAGACAAACCTTTCTCTTCTCCTAGGGAAATTGTCATTTTGTACATCTTCATCTACTTTGTCATCATCTTCCTCTTCTGCTCCCACTCACACACTTCGACACTTGAACTTCATTATCCTTTTATCTTCGTCTTCTATTTTTTTCTTTTTCATCTTTCTTTTTCTCTCTCTCTCTCTCTTTCTTGAAAAGCTTCATCACACTACATATGTTGACCTTTTTTGTCATTCTCACATTTATCTTTGTCAATTTCAACTATAAAACTTGGAAAAATTTGAAAAATAGTCTTCAATTTGCTTTTTTTCTGTTTTGAGACGTTCGTCTCCATTTTTTGCCTTTTATGGACGGAAGACGACAGGCGAAGGAGACAAGCAACAATAAGAACAACATGAATAGAAGAAAAATTTTTTTTTGTCTTTATTTTTGAAGTCAAAAGCCAGTTCTCTTTAAATTAAAGACCTACAAGGGAAGAACAAGAGAAATTTTTATTTCACTTATTCACTTCAACGTCGTCGTTGTCGTGATCGTAGTCGTCTTTCTTTTTCATGGGACATTGTCTTGAGTTGCTTAGAATAGAAAAGTTTTTGGCATTAAAGTACGTCAAACAAAACAAAAATAATAATTTGGACGAGAAAAGGAAGAACTGGTGCACTTTGAATAGATTTTTGAGGAGCTTTTTCTCCCACGGAAAGAAGGTGATCCACACAGGCAGAGGGAGGAAAGAACGGTGCAGCAGCAGCTAGAGTTTAAGAAAAAATTTTTTTGTCATCTCTTCAACTTGTTGGAAAAAGCGTGTATGCGATGTGCTGGACTAATTGACCATGTGAAATGAATCAGAACATGATGATGATGATTCAAAAGAAGAATTATTGAAATAATTGTATTTGAAAGATTGAAAAATGAAATTAAACTTTTTCAAATCACAAACGTTGTGATTGAATGGCTCTTGCGAGAGAGAAACAAAATATTTTGCTCGAAATTCGAAGAACATTCTGATCTTAGCTATCCACAAATGAAACATTGAAAATTTTCTATTTTATATCTTGTAGACTAGATGAGATGAGAAGAACTTTGGATTGTCATTTGGTGATTACAAGCGAATATATATTCATGTGAAGAAGAAGAGAAAAGGTTACTTTCAATGTGACAGGAATCAAGATATAGAAGAGAAGCAGTTTGTGAGATTGAGAGATATATCATAGCAATAGAGAGAGAATGTGAGAAAGAGAAAAAAAATAGAGAGAGAACAGCCTTGTTTATTATTATTCTTCATAAAACTCTTAAATAAAAAATACACAGAGACATGTCTCTTCGTTTCTCTCTTTTTCTTTTTTCAAAAGTCGATCAGTTTACAATAAAATAATATTATGTTTTTGATGTTCTCTATTGCTTCACTCTCTTTCTCTCTCTCAATCTCTCTCTCTCTCAAGAAACCTTCCCACAGACACTTACCCACAACCACAGACAAACCTCTAGCGAGAAGCTGAGTTTTAATTTGAAATAAAAACGTTGCAAATAGCCAGATTTTAAGAAGGAAGCTTTAGCGCTCAACATCTTTCCTCATTTAGGAAGAACATCTACGATGATTGCAAATAATATGGCAGGAAAAGCTAAAAGTAGATGTGCGACAAAGAATGACGTGATTGTTCAAAAATGGGAACGGTCTTTCCTCATGTTATGTCATCGGAGCCATTATATGATCAGACGGAAGACGTTTTCGCTGATGCGATTTAGTGATGAGAGAACAGATTCACAAACGATAGAGCTGATGCTTGATGAGCTTGTACGATACTATTCTTTGTTCTAATACAGAGGACGATTGGTCAGGAAAAGAGAGGATGAGATGGCAGCCACCTGATGAGCTGCGTGGCTTCCGGCTAATCTTTGAAAGAAAGTTCTTGATTGAACTCTCATAATTTGCGTTATTTCC